ACGGGACTGGGAGTGCCCTCTTTGCTTCAAGGGACTACCGTGCCTCTCGGCACAAGACAAGAAGAGATCGATCAAGGCACACATCGCTCAAGAACGTCCGCGTGAGACTCCTCGCACTTTGGACGCCAAAAGACGACGAGGACAGAAACAGCGCAAGGACGGGGTGCGGAAAGCCTGCCGTGCCAAACACGCTGCTGCTCGAGAGGCCCACTTCGCTAGCCACACCATAGTTGAGGTTGTGCCTGTTGAGCGCAACGCGCGGGGCTTGAGGGGCACTCACCACTTTTGTTCTGTCTGCCTCACGCAGCTTAGACTTAAGAAGGGTGCTGGCGGCCTTAGCTGCGAGCAGTGTCTCCAACAGTTGAACACGAACGCTCATGCACAGCGCATTAGGCGGGGGTGGTGGGCGCGCGTCAAGGCCCACGAGCCGCTTTACGCTGCTGCTTTCTGTAAGGCCGTCGGGCGGAGTATGCTAGCTATCGATAAAGCATGTTTTCTCCATGTTCCTCATAGTGAACGCTCTCTCGCATGGGCACGCCAACGTGCGAACGAGGGGTTGAAGCCGAAGTACCGTAAGCGGGGCAAGCAGGCTCTTTTGCGCTGCGAGGTTGCGGAGCCTGCTCGCAAGTTCGCTAAGGACACAAAGAAGCAAACTCTTCCTCGGTCCGCTAAGGCTTGCAGCAAACGTGCCAAGGTCACTGCTGCAGCGAGCTCCCGAGGACCAGGGACTGCAGGCGGGGCCTGACGTCAGGTGCTGGGTTTGCCTCCCGAGGCAAGCCCGGCGCATGAGACTTGGCTTCGTGAAGCAGAGCTGCAGGGTCAGACTCGACTTGGGGGCTTCAGAGGGGTCCGGGTCGGGGAGGCCAGCCTTCCAGGCCCCACTGGTAGTCTGCAGGTCTTGAGTCTTAACTGTGGAGGGGCTCCAGGCGCCTGGCGTGCTTTGAACCACTTCCAACACTGTAAAACCTTACCGGTGCTCGCTCTACAGGAGTTCAGTTTGCTTACAACTGAGGTGCAAGGGTTCAGACGCCAGGCCTCTAGGGTTGGCTGGAACTTGTACACTCAAGCTGGTGGCACGCACGTTGGACGCTGGGGACACCCGGTCGCGGAAGGAGGTGTCGCCTGGCTCGTACCTAAAGCCCTCCCGCAAAGGCCGGCGGGTAGTGACGTTCGTGGACGCTCGCAAACTCTGGCTGTTTGGGTGAGTAACACGCTCTTCATCACCTTCTACGCACCGCCAGGAGATGACTCCGTTGCAGCTAATCTGCTTTGTGATTTTCACACCAGCCTTGGTGCTCATCGCGACAGTTGGTTGTGTGTCGGTGATGCCAACGGTGAACCCAATGACTGCGACATCAGTTATGCCTGTAGTGCGGTTGGTGGCCATTTGGTCACTGATTGCAAACCAACGCGCTGGAAAAGTGAGCGCTGCATTGACTGGTATTGCACAAACCGTCCGGAGCGCCTTCGTTGGTTCGGACACCTCGAAGCCCACCTCAGCGACCACGTGGTGCTTGCTGCTCGATGGGAAGCTGTGGAATGCAGTACTCTGCGGGGTCGTCTTCAGCCAAAGCCCACGTGGCGGCGTCCTGACAGCCTCACTGCTGAAGTATGGAAGCGCAAGCTTAGTGAAGCTTGGCTTAAGCAGAAAGTTACTGCGGCTGGTCTTCGCCTCGACGCGCTCCTGGCTGACTCCGCGAACTTATGCGTGCAAGAGGAGTGGGACTTGTACATGGCATTGTTGGCTGCCACCTACAAGTCTGCCATTGAGGCCTGCCTCATTGAATCCTCAGGTTCGCTTGCTGACGAAGCTCGCAGTCTCCTGAAGCAGACTGGCGCTAGGTCAAACTGTAAAGGTGCCCTGGCCGTGCACCAAACTCTCCCACGTGAACATTGGGGACCCGGCCCTGCTGCTCGCAGCATGGCGGACGTACGGGTCTCTAAGAAGCTGGCAAGGCTCTACCAGCTGCAGCGGCTCCTTGCTCCTTCTCAAGGGCGTCCTAGGCAGCAGGAACTGCAGGCCTTGCAGGCTAAGACAGGCGTGCCTGCAGAGGCACGCACACCTGCACAACAGCTGGCATGGACCAAGGCACAAATCCGCCACTTGACGGCTCAACGAGTTGCGTCTGAGGAAGCTGCTAAGACACGGCGCCTTCGTGACTGGCGCACCAAGGTGGCTCAATCAGACAGAGCTCTGAGTCGCTGGTTCAAAGCTAAGGAGTCTTCGCAGTGGCACCTCACAGTCAAGGACTCACGGGACCAGCTGTGTGACACCCCAGAGGCGGCAGCCACCGCCATAGCTAGTCACTGGCGCGCAGTTGCTCAGGACTCACGATGCTCTGACAAAGGACAGGCAGCCAAGGTCCTGGAGGAAAGCTTCAGGCTGCCTCACGGTCGCTTCGTTCCTGAGGACCCCAGTTTCGGTGAGCCTGCAGGCACCTCGTGGCCTGGGCCTGACTTGGCAGGACTCACTCGGGCTTTTCGGAAGTGTAAAGGGAGCGCGGGTATTGATGGATGGTGTTCTTCGGAGCTGAAACATGCTCCTGACGCTGCGATTCACACCTGTCTCCTGTTGTTTCGGCGGTGGCACTCGGCTAAGGAGCTACCTAAACAGATGCTGCAAGCCCGGCAGGTCTGCTTGAGCAAAGCTTCAAAAGTCGAGGGTAGCACCATTGCTGCTAAACACACTAGGCCGATTACAGTCATGAGTGTTTTCTGGAGGATCAACATGGCTGCTTGGTTGGCTACTCCGGAACTTCAAAGATGTCGTAAAAGACTTCCTAACAGTGTTTTTGGTAGTCTGAACGGACTGAGCGCTGAAGAAACAGCTATGGTCTTGCAGGATCGGTTAGCAGGAGGAGGCATACTGTCTTCTTTGGACTTCTCCCAAGCTTATGATCGCATGAGTCCCGACGTTAGTAAAGCTTTTCTCTCCTCGCTTGGCTGGGATGAAGGTTTCTGCAGTCTCTGGGCCACGGCCTGGTCTGCACAGCAAAGGTGGCTTCAGTGGCAGGACACTACCCTGTCTGTGCCCCTCACGGCGCTCGACTCTACTCCGCAAGGGTGCCCTATGGCCCCGTTGGTGTTGTGCTACTGGATCGCTTCAGGATGCAAACACGTCGCTCGCTCAGCGAGGTTGCCACCTCAGCTTCTGCAGGCAGCCTACATGGACGATCGCACGGCGGTCTCGCAGTCCTGGGCTCACACCGAAGCTTGGGTCGCAGAGTGGCAAGCCTGGTCCTCTGTAGTAGGTTTGAAGGAAAACTCGTCCAAGACCCAGGTCTGTGCCAAGTACCAGCGTTTTCGTGACATGATGTCCGCCCAGTGTCCACAGCAGTGGCAGCGGTCGGAATGTGAAGTGTTGGGCGCCAGCACCGTTTGTAGCTACCGTCAAAACACCGAGGCTGAGAGCAACCGGTTGATGGCTGCTAAAGCACGACAAGTCATGCTTCGTACTGCTTGGCTTGCTTGGCCGCGCTTCATACGTGCGTCTCGCTCCTGGTGTGTTTCTAAGGCTGCTTACGGCTGGGTGGGAAGGCTCCCGCCTCTTGCTGAGGCGCAGAAGCTCTTTGGCACGGCCACTGTGGCTTCGGCTACGTGCAGGATGGCAAACAGGCACCTTCGGGCTGCGGCCTACGGTGCCATCTTGCACTTGGACTGTGTGGTCCCTTCGGGCCTCTTGAGCAAAATCACCAAGGTGCTATCCCTGGAACGACAGGGTTACGTGCCGGCAGGTGACAGACTTTGGGCCAGTAAGCCGGGCTCATCGGTTCATGTCTTCAAGAAATGGATGAGCAAACGTTCCTGGAATGTAGTGCGGCCATGGGTCTGGCAGTCTGATTTGGTGGCCTCTTATCGGATTGACCTTTCGGTTGGTAGTAGACAATCTCGGAGCGTGACTCTGCACAACTTTAGGCAAAACTGGCGTTTGCACCAGCTGCTCCTCTTCCTTAGAGGTGACCGCCACGAAGCGAGAGAAATGTTGACACGCAGGACTGAAACTCAGCTTTTGCAAGACGCTGAACAGGTCGACTTTGCGCAACTGCGCTCTCTTCTCCTGGAGAGGGCGGAACATCGTACGATTATGCTCGGCGCACTGGTCAGTCCAGCCTGGCTGGCTGCATGTGAAGGCTCGAATGCGGAGCACCACTGCTGTCCAAGATGTGGCATGCTGCTTGCTCCCTTTCAGCATGTTGCCTATGACTGTGTGGGCAAGCCTCGGCCACAGAATGAGTGGCAAGCTCGCTTCGGCTGGCCCCTGTGCAATGTGCCTAAGGCTGTGAATGCTGCCAGACTGCAAATCTTGGCAGACACGTGTCGCGTGCTCTGGGAGAAGCGGCACCCTTTTGCAAACTGAGGTTCGCTGGCGTTGCCAGCATGCTGACTCACCTGGTTAGGCTTCGGCCTTCCCTAAGGTTTGCTTTCTCTCGCTGGTGGCTGCGGCTGCCGAGTGACTGGCGTGGCCAGCGCGCAAACACGCCTGGTTAGGCTTCGGCCTCATCTAAGGTGTGGTTTTCTCTACTGGTGGCTACGGCTGCTGGGGTGCAGGAAGCAGAACGAGGGCTTCATGCACTACAACTTCATATAAATGAAAGCTTGCTTCAGCACCATTGCTGTCCTCAACGTAGACAAGCAAGGCTAGCAGCTAAACTCGTCCCGTGCGTCGTGCAACGGAAAGGGTGCGACCCGTGATACGCTTTCCATCGTTCAGGCTCTTAACATTACATACATACATACATACATATATAAATCAAATGGCAGCTTTTGTCTCGACTCAAGCCGGCTGAGGCATATGCTTGTGATCTCGTGAGAGCAATGACAGACCCCGTACATGTAAGCGTGCACAAACTGACTCCGCTTTGGTCTTTGTAGGTCAGAGCCCTCGACGATGGGGATCGCAAAATCCGCACGGCGTAAGCTTTCGTCCGCCCTGTGCATAAATGCATTCCCTCGTGTGGTACGAGTGACCCTTTTGGCGGGCCCAAACTGGCATTCCGTCGCTACTCAGCACAACCGTTGGAGGAGGCTCGGTCGTCGAAGTCGTTAGTGGTACTGGAGCCGTGGAACCTGCTGAAGACGAAGAAGATGATGTAGTGGTAGCCGAGGGTCGTTGCGTAGTGGAAGACGTCGTTGTAGGTGAGGTCGCAGTAGTCGGACGTGTGAAGAACAGCCGGTCGCAGCAAACAGCCATAGCAGCAGAAGATACAGACACCATCCTGACGATGACAATCAGCAGAATGACGTGCACCTCGAAACCAGCATAGTGAGGAGCATCAGGAGGTTGAGCAGCAGCACCATCCATCATAGAAGCAACCATAGCCAGGCCGAAGAGTTTCTTCGAGAAAAGAAACCATGGCACGTGAACAAACCAAGCAGTTTTCTTCGCCAAAGAGTTGTCGCCATCCATAAGGTCCTGCTCGTTGATGCCGTTCGATGGAGGGAGCCGCTTCATCTCCAGAGGATGACCAGTGTTCCAGAACTTGATGATCCTAGTCGTGAGCCATTCCATGAGGACAGGTGATGTCATGACCTTGGTCAAAGCATCTGCAGTCATGCATTCCGTAGGCGTTAGAATAACCCACCGGATGCGTCCTGACATTCCTGACGCTCTCGCCTCTCGGTGTGCCAAAACGTACAGCCTCTGAGACTTGTCTTGAGGAAGACTTTTCGCACCAGAGCTCAGTTCCCAAAAGTCGCGGGCATCGGTGTGAGCGTCCACAGGGAAGTGGTGACAGCCACGTTCTTGTATCGCAAGTAGTTGTTGAACCGAAGGCCGTGCAGAACCGTAGGTCGCCTCAGCCAAACGAGTGCTCACGAGAGTGGCGCACTCCAGTCCATTGATGGCTGCCAACGTCTCCCCATGCGAAGTAGAGTATGACACACGCTTGGCCTTGTTGCTTTGACAGTGGAGCAACTGGGCCTGTCCGGATATCAAGTGCTTGGCGGTGTAGTCGTCGACCACCACGTGGTTGTCGTCGGTGCGGTAGTGGTCACTCATCAGCACCACAAGTACACCTTCTTGAGCGTAGTTCTTTGTCGAGGTGGCTGCAGAGGCGTCGTGGATGCACACAATACGGTAGCTGGTAGTCTTGAGGTCGCGGTAATAAATGGCGGCCTCCTTGTCACGCTTGGCCTTGGCAACAAGCTCGTTGGCGTCCTTAACGTGCTTTACAAGGCCCTTGTTCATGACGCCCTGAAGAACCGATAACTCGGCTAGAAGATCTGGCCTCGTCAGCCCTGTCCACATCAAGGCGCCGATAGCGCTCCTCAGTAGAGTAGTCTCCGAAGGTGTGAGGGCGCGATCGTCCTTGTCGTCATTGGCGATCTTCACGGGCTTCAGCATTTCCACGTACTCTTGCTGATCAACCTTGTAACCATCAGCAATCTTTGAGTACCGGCAGCCGCAGTGCATGAAAGGGAGCCGCTGCCTGGTGAGCTTGCCGAACTTGGCCAACATCTTATCGAAGACTTCATCCAGCCATTTCTGGTAACCTTCCACAGCCAAATCGTCGACGTGGGTGCTGAGTGAAGACTTCGGCCATTGTCCGTGAGTTGGACTTGGCCACCACCAGTAGCACTCATCGGAGTGACTTTGGGAAGCTCCCAGTTGTTTGAGGAACTTGTGCAGGTAGAGCTGCCACGCCAAGGGAGCCTCCGACAACCCGTACACCGGCTTCAAACACAGAAGCACTCAGAAATATGAAACTTCTTGCTGAGCTTCCGTAGATGACGCCAAACGTTCCTTGGAGGCACAATGGCAATGAGCCTCTCCACACTTTGTAGGCCCAGCTCCTTTAGCGCCTTCCACAGCTCCTGGTAGGTCAGCCCCTTGAGGAACGCACCCGCGATGTCCCAAGACTCCAGTGACTTTCGCGCGTCATTCGACGCAGAGGAAAGGATAAGTCGCTGGCTCAATCTAGTCGCGGTGGATGACTTGCTCAGGAGCTCGTGCTTCCATGGATCATGGCATCCTCGAACACAAAGTCGACTTTTCACCATCCTGCCGCTGGCAGTCTTCTTCCATTTTCGTACCCATATCGCATCGATGATGGCACAGTCGCTTCCCAGAGAGTCGCGACGTCTAGCAGCGAAAGCGTTCTCATTCACGAATTGGCTGATCTCCTTCTCGTCAGCTTCATGCACCTGAGGCCAAATGTCGTAGACGTCGTGCTCCTCGATGTTGTCGGTGGAGGAGTCGACCCGAAAGATGCTTCCGATGTTGAGGTCCGCGCACCAGCCCGGAGAGCGCATGTGGAAGATTGCGTCCTTCTCTGAGGTGTCCGACGGTGCCGTGGCGGACAGGTCATCCGGAGGTAGCGAAAGTGGCTCGTTGTGGTGGATGACGTGCTGGCGCTGATGCATGGTAAGGAAAGTCTCATGCATGTAGGAGGAAGCTGGTTCAGCAAAGGAAACCCGTGGCTTCTTCGTCTCAGGCGCCAAAACCACAGTCCGTGACTCCATGCCATCGCGCTTGTTGTTGATGTCGACGTCCATGTCTTGCTTGGTTGTCGAGTCGGTGTCCATGGATTGTGGTGAGGATTGAGGAGCTGGTGGTAGTTGAGGAACAATTGGTGACTCTTCATGTGGTATCCCTTTCGGAGCCCAGGTGGGAGGTGGTGCCTCGGTGAAGTTCTCGGCATAGCTGTAGAAGTAGATGTAACACATCTCTTCCTTGCCTGCGACGCGGGAAACTGTCGACATGTTTTGACCAGAAGGGTTGTCGACGATCGTCATGCGTATGGTGTTCCGTCGCCAGGCAATGAGCGTGCCGGTAGTACCGGCGGGGGTGATCATCTTCTTGAGACCAACACCGACCTTGATGCCATGGCACTCCTTGGAAGTCAGGAAGTTAGCTGCCGCGACGATGTCGGACAAAATGCCATCTCGCTGTGTGGTGCCCATGGTCTTGGGCAGCACCTTCCAGTTGCCGTGGATGTCCTTTACATGGCCGTAGGTGTCGATCCGGAAGGGAACACATGCTTCTGCACTTTCCATCGGCCTGCGGAGAGCAAGCCAGGAGTCCAGTTCCTGCTGCTTGCGCTCCTTCACGTTGTTGTGGAAGTCGTTGTAGTAGGTGCCGCGGAATTGGCGAAGGTTCCTCAGTGGGATCAGATAAGGTCGGCCCTGGTACTCGACAATGGCAGACCCGTTGTCCTGCAACTTGAGAAGAAGGCCAGGGCCTCGCCATCCATAGCCGTCGGCATCTTCACGGTGGAACTCGATCTCGGTGATGCCGGGCTTCATGTCCTCCTTCGGCAGGCGTTGTGGTCGAGTGTGGCCTGCTCGAGCAATGCGATTTTCTGCAATGGACTGAGCTGCAGCTGTGAGCGCCAGTTGTCTCAGACGAAGGGCCTTTTCGAACACCGTAGGGTTCGTCTGATCTGACCCAGTGATTGCCTGGATTCCCGGAGCATCCATGTCGTAGTAGGGCATCGGAAGAGTGCCCATGACCATCATGTGGGGCGTGTAGCCGCCCAGGTTGATGCTCGCGTTCTGAGCAAAACTGGCTTCTGCAGCGATGTCATGCATTGCCACATCCAGCCCTTGTCGCTCTGCTTCTGCCTTGATCTTAAGCATACAGATCTTCACGAGGTCGATGTGCTTCTCAACGATGCCGGTGGTGGTGTGTTGACCTTGAGCCTTGCCTCGGGTAGTACCGGCTGGCTCACGGTGGATGTTCAGACGCTCGAACTCCACGGCAGCCTCGTGACTCATCAAGCAAGACTCTTGATCGGATACCAGCTTCTTCATCGGACCGAAGTAGCCGAACCAGGTTTGCATCATAGTCTTGAGCGCCGTAGGAAGGTCGCGGCCAGTCGCCGCAGACACCGTCTTGAACCTGGTACACGCATCGACGACGATGAGAAACCATTGGTCCCACAGCTGGAAGTAGTCCGCCTGGACTTCCTCGTTGAAGAAAGATGGCTGTCCAAACTTCACCACCGGCCGGCTCTTTAGTCGGGCAAACCTTCGGCAGATCGCGCATCCAGTCACAACCTCAGGAACCAGCTTGATCACCTCAGCGGGCATGCCGGCACGGGAAAGAAGTGATTGAAGATCACTTGTCTCAGAGTGCCAGAAGCGTTCATGCAAGCCCAGGATCAATCTCTTGGCTTGATCCACATCCGTGCGGGCAAGTCCATCGCCGTCATAGTCATGTCGTCAGGCAACTGGAGCTTCACGGTGTCGAGGTTTTGTTGTTTCAGGGCACGCTGCTTAAACTGCTCCAGCAGCTCGTTCATGGGCGTTGTGACCGCTGCCCGCACTGGAGCGACTGGCACCACTGGTGGTTGGTTGCTTGAGCTGCTGGGTGTAGAGGTCGTGGTCGCAGGAGTCGGTAAGCTGCTCGCATGCCGGCACTCTCGAGGAACCAAGGTGTGTTCAGTGCCGGGAGGAGCGTTGCGTCCCAGAGCGCACTTTTGGCACTTGTAGACGACGAACTTGATCTGCTTATCCCCTGCGATGAACTTCTTGATGTCCTTGACCACGGACCTGCACAATTGTTGTGGATACCGTCTTGACTTCTCGCTGAGGCCTGGAACATGTTGGTCGCGGTGTCCTCGGCAGCGATGGGTGGATGCCCTCAACGACATGTTTGCTTGGAGGCCTATCCGTTGTTGAATTGGACGGACCTTGTCGTTGACGGCCCCATAAGCACATAGGTCCGAACTCTGTCGAGGACGGAACCCCTGGTACTGGTGGTCCAAGCCAGCGAGAGGAGAGGATGTCCACCACGCAGCATTCCACAAGCCCTGTAGAATGAAACCGTTCCCGGCCTCGGCCTGTCGCATGGCCATAGTCTTCACAAAGTTGACAATGGAGGCGTTGTCGTCATGTGCTCGTTGGCGAGCTGCAGCATCGGTGTGCTTCGCCGGAACATTGACGATGGGAGGCGCAAAGAAGATGACTGCCGGAGAGGATCTTTCTTGCTCATCAAGTAGCAGTCGTTGATGCTCTCGATCCGCAACGTTCCAGCCGCACCGGTAGTCAACCGGGAAGGCCAGCATCAGACCTGCCAGAAGGGCAGTGTAGGTCAGCCTTCCGGAGCCACTGCAGATTTCCCAAAAGTGAGGTCGCCGACGAGCATGCCTGGTCTCTCGCCATCGTTCATAGTTATCTGGGCCGATCACCGGTCGGCCTGACTTGCTGTAGAACTCCTCCTGGACTGCCGCTTGCTGTCCTCGCACATGTGCTTGTCGTTCTTGTGGTAGATCAGGAGGAAGCACGTCGCCAGGATACATCGTAGGCAGACCGAACTTCATCTCGTCATCAACAACAAAGGGGTACTCCTCAGGATGCGACGTGGTACATGACGTAGTCGGAGAGGGACCAGGATGCGACGTGGTACATGACGATAACATATCATTGGCCCCGATGTCCTCTGTGGTGTTGTCTGGTGTTGTTGTAGCTGTCGGTGATGTTGACTCATCTGGAGAGTCCATGACCATTTGCGCCCCGATGTCCTCTGTGGTGTGGCCTGGTGTTGTAGGCGTAGCTGTTGGTGATGTGGATGCCTCGTCGAAGAAAACCTTCTTGTCATCCTTGGTCGCGGGGGAGCATTCGTCAAACTGACCCCGCTTTGGCTTTGCCGTCGTCGCCCATGTGAACCACGTTCTCACATCGTTCCATCTGCTCGTCGTCTCTGTGTAGGCGTTGGAGACGAAAGTACGCATCTTCTCCTCGGCCTCCGGGTCCTCGGAAGTTCCTTGGTCGCTGTCCAAAGGGAGCAGGTAGTGCTTTGAGTCCGTGAACAGCAGCCTGATCATCTGGAACTTTCCGTCCTTGTCGGGAACCGCCAGCAAGCCGTCCTTGTTCGTGAACCAGTTGGCCGCAATGATCGCCCGCATGTTCACCAAGGAGGAGTTTCCGACGAGGGCCGGGCACATGCTCGCATTTCCACCGATGACATCCGCCCGGTAGTTCGCTTCCTCCAGGCCATTGACATTCGGGAGCGCGATCTTGACCTCGCCCAGCGTGCTGTCAGCCTCGCCGCTGATCCCGGTGACCTCGCTCTTCTTTGATGTCCACTGCGGGGCCTGTGGGATCACATGCTCCAACAAGTCCCGCAAGGTCTCAGAGCCCACTAAGCCATTTGCCGCACCGGGGTCGATGATAAGTCCTCTTCGCCGGCGTCCGCCGACGGTGTGGTAGACCTCGGTGTCGTTGTCGTGCTCGTGGTAGGTCTTGTGTTGCGGTACTTCACGGCCATCGTGGCCATTCTCGTTCTTCCTGAAGAAGAAGTCGATGGTCTTCTTGAGCAGCGGCGTGGCCGTGGTGCCCGAGACAAGCTCAGCAAGTCCTCAAAGTAGTCGCTCTTGGGCACCGCGTCCGTGGCTATATTAAAGTACTTGGCGTTCTCGACAGTGGACTTCTTCGGGGAGTCGCCGAGGGAGAGGCCTTGTCGGGCGTGCCGAATCTGGTCGCTGTAGTAGTAGTCGCCCGGGTCGTAGTCAGCATAGTATCTCGAAGCCCAAGGCCTCGAGCCGTACGAGTTTCCCCAAGAGCCTTTGTTCTTTCCTTTGCCATAGCCCTTGGAGCCGAAACCGCCTTTGAACTTGCCTTTGCTCTTGCCTTTGCTCTTTCCTCGGCCTTTTCCGCCGAAGCCATTTCCTTTGCCCTTGCTCTTGCCCTTCGAGGTCACGGGGCAATCTGCAGCATGGTGCCACTTGCTGCCGCAGATGTGGCATCCTGAGCCGAAGGGGCCGGCTCCTTTTCCCCGGCCGCCACCAGCGCTGTACACGCCGTCCGGCTCCTCGGTCTCCTGGTGGTCCTCGCCCTGATAGCCTGGTTCGGCAGCGGGATCGCCGGGCCACTCGGAAGCCTCATAGTACTCCTCCTCGCCGTACCAAGTGGAGTCGGGGAAGGCCTCCTCAGCATACCAAGCATCCTCGTTCCACCAGCCGTCTGCCCAGAAGCTCTCGTCGCCATCTGTCCATAGCTCACTGTGGTCCTCCTCATAGAACACGTCGCCGGGTGGCTCAGGCGGACCGCAAGCCCACGTATCTCGTGGAACCGGCTCAGATCACCATGAACTTGCAGACGCAAATCGTCCTGGTGCTTCTGGGAGAGACCGCTCTGCTTCAGCCACAGGTAGCTCTTCGCCACGGCATTCATGTCGAGGCCTGCCTTGCTGCGTGCGTCCTCGTACCGCAGGTCCCACTCAGCCGCAAACTCCTGCAACTCCTGGCCGTGGGGGCGCTTGTGCTCGAAGAACAGCTCCAAAGCTTTCGTGGTCTGCGCCTCGTCCGTGTCCCCGAACGCGTCTCTGAACGCGTTGCACAGCGCCTATACACACCAGAAGGGATGTGAGCCTGCAGCACAGTGACGCCGTCGTTGGGGTCCAACACCTCGTCGACGCTCAGCCTGACCAGCGCCGCGTCGCCGTAGTCGAAGGTGCCGTCCGGCCTGATCAGCTTGAGCTCCAATGCTATGCGCTGAGCTCTGCCCTGAAGCCTTCCCGCTATGAGCGGGCCAATCACCTCGTCAGGCACCTCAGAGCAGCGGTACCACAGCTTGAGCTTCGCGAAGTAGGTCTTCAAAGGGTAGCTTTCAACTCCCGGCTTCCAGCCGGGTGGCACATCTTTTCTCCATTCGTCCAGCGGAACTCCTCCGGTGCTGGGCGTCGTCATCGCTTCGTCGTCCTGGCCGCCAGGTAGTAGAGCTCTTTCACTTCCGTGTACGCGAACTTGCGGAGAATCGACGTGAGGGCCTGGACCGCGCTCGGGCTGTAGCGCTCGTACACCGATGGCCGCCGCGCAGCCACCAAGGGAAAACTCTGTCGGCAGCAGAAGGCTGCCTGCACACAGGAAGAAAGAAAGCAGCCGCCCTGCTGCTGTCGTGGCTCCCTTCGGGAGCGTAGTGCTCGTAGTGCACGTGTGTCCGAAGACGGTTCTCGAAGAGGGAGTCGTAGGAGAGGAAGTTGTCGAAGATGAGGTGGCCGGTCCTTGGACCGCCGTCGCAGAAGCGAGGGCGCCTATGGCGCGCGTAGCTACAGCAGGAGCCTTGCTCCCTACCAAAATCAAATGGCAGCTTTTGTGTCGACTCAAGCCGGCTGAGGCATATGCTTGTGATCTCGTGAGAGCAATGACAGACCCTGTACATGTAAGCGTGCACAAACTGACTTATATATATATATATATACATGTATATATATATATAATAAATAAATAAATAAATAAATATATATATATATATATATATATATATATATATATATATATATATATATATATATTTATTTATTTATAGATATAGATATAGATATAGATATAGATATAGATATAGATATAGATATAGATATAGATATAGTACAATGTAGTGTATAGTGTAGTGTATAGATAATTAGTACAGTAAAATATATAGTAAAGTAGTATTACATAGTACATACATTATATCACATAGTCACTATATATATGAAGCCTGCATAGCTATATATACAGAAATATATACTGGCGCAGAAAAATCTCAATCGCCTGACGACTCCGTGGGCGAACGTCGCGCTGCGGGCCGAGGTCTGCGCGTCCGTCTTTGCAGTGCCTGCCTTCGACGACAAGAGCCAGAGAGCCCAATACCCCTTAATTAAGGAATATGGCTTAGATTATATAGGCGGTCATATTATGATTTTGAGCTGTATTCCTCAATAAAGGGGTATTGGGCTCTCTGGGAGAGCCTGCAGTACGTCTAGAGCGCGGGTGCACAGACATGGCCAATCGTGCGCCAACTCTGGGATGCTTCTGCACATCCTTGGTCCTCAAAGGGGTTCGTACCCTGAACACACACACACACAGACAGACACACACACACACACACATGCAAAGGAATAGGATAGGATGCGATGGGCTGGGATCGGCCAGGCCAAGCTATAGATACTCGGGCCCTCAGCGCTTGCATGACGTGTTCGGGTTAACGCTCAGCGGCGACGTGAGGTAGCCATGCATTCGGTGTCAATGGTGTCACATACATGCCCTGAAGCATGTCGACCGACAGCCGATGCGAACTCGTTTGGTGAAGAACGTCCATTTGAAGCATTGCAAAAGCTGGTAGCCTCAAGCTTCACCGCGTCAGATATTGTTGCGTCGTCTGTCGCCTCGTGTAGGACGGTCCAGCGTAAGAGCAGTATATCTACAGAATGACTATGGATCGCATCTGCACCCACTGTTTCGTCCAGGCTTGCTTGCCAGTTTCGTCCACGCTGGCTTGCATCGATCCGTCACAGGACAAACCCTGTCGGAGCACGCTGTGCTGATCTGCAGCAAAGCGCGCGCGGCACGCAAACGCTGTGCTCGCCGTCAAAGCCAATATGATCCAAGGACCCTAAATCTATACACGCCAACTGTAGCCCCGTAAAACAAAGAAGCCGAAAACTTTTTCCAGACAGCTGCGCTCCCATGTGGCCATGCACCGTTCCGGAACCCTAACACGAATCCGGAAAGACCTGCAAGTAGAAGCAGTGTGATGCACATCAATATAGATTAGGGCTGTTAGGACTTCCAGGTGCCAACATCATCCTCATGGCCATGACATGCCATGACTGCCTTTGAACCATGACCATCATTGAGTCATGGTGATAATCTCCGTCTTTTTCTTACAAACTCTGAGAAGAAACGTTTTACTAACCAGCACGAAATGTGCATACTTCTCGAAGTGCTGCAGTTTTGTTGTCAGAGAACAAGCATGCTGTGTATGCAAATGATGACAATGAAGAGGCCGATCACCATTCAGCTGAAAGGATTCAAAAGGCCAATGGCAATCGCAGTGCTGCTGATGGAAGTGGTGGCGGTGGCACCGCTGCTGATAGTATGGGTGGCGGTGGCGGCAGTGGCGGTGGTGGTGGCGCTGGTGCTGATGGTTCTATGACTTCGGCGATGCCCCAATGCTGGTGATGTGGCTGGCCAATGGAACATAACAGACTTATAGCAGACACCAAAGCCCACTACAGTAAATCCCATAAGTTGGAAACCGGGTTAAGGCCAAATAGTGCAGGGGTTCCTTCTACATTACTCAAGGATTGAGACTATTGGGTTTCCAACTTTTGGGCTTCTGTTTTATTTAGGCTCCCTAAACCCTAGACCCTAAAATCAAATTAACCCTAAACCCTATAAACCCTAACCCCAAAACCCTAAACCATATGGGAGTTTCTGAAAATAGGGCACCCTAATATAGTACCCTAAATAGTAGGGATCTTTATTATAAGGACCCCAATAAAAGGTACCCCTAATTTTCGGAAACTCCCATATAGGTTTACTGTTCAAGTTATGGGGTTCGGGGCTTTGGGCTTTTCGAGTCAGGGTCTATAGGGGTCAGGGATTCGGTAGACGCTTAAAGGGTGAAAATAGTGGTATCAAATATCCTGCTCTCCTAAAGGGATCTCCAGGAAGTTGGAATATGGATTAATGGTAGGATCCCCTATAATTTACCTTAGAGAGGTTACGATAATGATATTCCAACTTTCTGGCTTCTACTGTAAATCCACGAAACACATAGGTCCCTCCGGGCTCTTCAGTTGAATTACCCCAGGGCTCCACCTACCTTAACTTAATGGGCTACTCCTTAATTTCATGGGCTACTGGGTTTCGGCCTTATAGTGTTCAGGGTTGAGGGCTTTACGGGATTACTGGGTTTCGGTCTTAGGGTTTAGGGCTTTACGGGAAATTACTGGGTAAGCTACTGTATCCGTAGGTAACTCCAGGAGCCCTGGTTCGAGGTGCTCAGAATTCAGCACCCTGCGTTTGCAGTCTTGCCGAGATCGATGCGCAGACGTGGACACACGAGCGCTGTTCCAAACTCGTGGCTTTCCTACACCTTCGGTATGCTATTTCTTAGCGGCCGAGTACCTCGATTATGGTGTAGGATTACATAAAACCCAAAAGGCTCAAGGTCACCTACTCAGCTACTCAGTATTACAGATGATTTGATCGTGTATTAACATTTGCAGTTAAGGTGTTAATTCATACATAAGCTGACTCAGGCTAGCAAAGTAGATGCTATGATAAATTCTGTTTTCCATGGAAGCACAGCTCTACTGACATGGCTTCAGTTTCTTGATCGGATATCGAAGTGCAGCACTGCACCCCCAAACAACACGTCCTTGTTTACCGCTTTTCTGATGCGGGTTGTGAGGTGAAAGACCCTGCACGCCATACAAAAAACGTCGGCAAAGCGTTCCCTTTCCTGTCCTAACCGGTTTCAGGAGAGGGGTGCTCCCCGCTTGCGATCTGCCCAGCGAGTAGCTAGCACTGCCGTCTGGATTGAAACAGAGCTCAGGTCACTTTGGTCCACGCCAGAGCACACCCTCATGATCTCAAAGTCCGAGACCCTAAACTCTAAACCCTAAACCCAAAACCCTAAACCCTAAACCAGCCCTAAACTCTCAAACTCAAAGCCCTGCAAGGAATTACTCATGCCGCATGTCGGAGATTCCGCGTGCCGCTTGCGGCCTGAGAAGGCTTCGAAGTCTTTAGGGTTTAGGGTTTAGAGGTTTAGGGTTTAGGGTTTAGGGTTTAAGGGTTTAGGGGTTTAGGGGTTTAGGGTTTAGGGTTTCTTGATCAGGACTCCGTTACGTTTTGAAGGTTTGAGAAAGCTGTGCACGGGTGGACACGGCAATCTGCTTTGAAGGCGGGTTTCCGTTATGCTGCGGTTCCTGCTTGGTGTCCTTGTCCCCTGCGTTGGACTCGATTTCCGCAAGACTAGGACCCACCTCGATTTAGGTTGCTATGCTGCTACTGTGTTAGCAAAGAACTATCTACACCAGTCCTATATTACAATAGTCGTGCAGCACAAAACCCTATCCCTCCAGGGACCTCATAGTTAGGGCCCTAGACCCCTTAAGGACCCCACAATAAGGTCCCTGGAGGCATCGGGAAAAGTACTAAGTACTACACCACTATGAGGTTTCCAGACGGCGATAAGGGACTGGAGGCCCGCTAGTTTCTTAGGGCCCCAGAAAGCACATAAGCAAAACATGAGGATAGTGAGATCCCATGTAAGTCCCCTTATGATGAAGGCCAATAAGGTAGGGATATCCCTATAAAATGTATATGCTTATGTGCTTTTTGGGTCCCTAATTTCTGTTACCTGGACAGATTCCACATCCAACCCGACTGGCCATGCCTGCGACTGCAGCGCCAGCGGCTGGAGACTTGCGATTCCTCGTAGCTTACAGAAGCTCTTCCTAGGTCCCAATACCCCTTAATTAAGGAATATACCTTAAATTATAGTAGGATCCCGAATATGATTTAAGGTATATTCCTTAATTAAGGGGTATTGGGTTCTCTGGGCTCTTCCTAGGTCCTAGCGGTTGAACAATGCAGTAAGTAACAGCCCCGAAACGCGATACAGTGTTCCGAGAGTGTTGCAGAGGTCCTGGCAAACAACATTGTAAGTAAGGAGTCGGAGTCTCACAATACTTGAGCTCTGGCCTGATTCCTGTTTCCTCAATCAGAGCCGCAACATCCGCCAAGCCCTAAAACTGTGGCCGTGACACTTGTTCTAGAAATGGGGCATGTTTTAGCATAAGTATAATAAGGAACCCCAGCCGATAGCATTGATAACTATTCAGACCCCTATTTCAAACTTCAGCCGGCATCTGTCTGTGAGAGAAGAAGGATTGGGATTCACGACAGGTCCTGGC